TATTAAATTTATATAGTAAACTGAGTCATGTTTTACTATGTTTATTCTTCAGTTGACTAGAGAATCATTAATTAAATTTAATAACTATATTATACCAAACCTTCAACCTGAATATATAATATCTAACACTTTACCAAACCTTTCTTATTAAATCCACCATCAACAGAGCTATATACTGTTACACAACTACCATATTTACAAGATTTTATATTCAAACTAAATATTGCTACACATAATATATAAGAATACAATATATATGAAAAAAGACTACTATGAAAGATTACTGCTTAACTAACAATTTATATATTATTAGCTTAACAAAAATCAAAATTGCTAACAATACACCTACAAAATTCTTCAACACTCAACAATATAGATACTATTAGTCTAATTTACCAACAGCTAAAAAAAGAAAATGTATAATGCTCTGCAATTATATTCAACTCTATATTCTCAAAATACTTACCCACCCAGGTGAAGCAATTGCTATTGACTATTTCTCAAACATGACTACAAACTTAGAATCATCTCTTTATACCTCTCATCAATCAATAATACTATCCGAAAACTTATACAAGACACAGCTATCACATAGATACAACAAGCACTATCTAATAATTTACAACCTATTATTTTGGGTGATTTCAATGCCAACAATAATACCATTATTTCATCTGCAGTTAATCTTTCAATATCATTATTAAAATTATCCAGAGGGCAAAATTATTTCTATTTTAGGTAGGATTTGTTCAATAACGATAATGTAACCCTGTCGTATGATACTGTAATTCACAAGATTATTTATTATACAGTACAAGTCTTTTAAAATGCAATTTATTACAAAATTTAAATAACTTTATTTAGTTTTGAGTAGAAGATTACACACATTATATTACGTTTCTATGAATTTAAAATGAAGAGATTCCAATATTACCTAAGCGACTAATAGGAAACTTATAAACCCAATTCCTAAACTTAACCACATTCCCCAGAAACTTGAGCTAATATTTGCAGAAGAAAAGGCCATGGAGTTTTGGTCATCTGCAGGTACAGCGGTCACTACCGAATTAACAGCCACAATAGTGGTTGGTGGGACGTAAGCGTTTACTACAGTTACATCACCATTAGAATCAGTAGTCGTAACCGCAGAAGTAAATCCTGGAACAAAAGTAGCAACAGTACTAAATACGGTTTTTGTAATTGATGATTTAGAAGAGTTTGCCAAATTTGGTTTTTGAGTTGGTGCGTCATTTGATTTTATAGGAGCAGATGTAGGTGATGCACGGGACACAGATGTAGGGGATGCACCGGACACGGATGTGGGGGATGCACCGAACACAGATGTAGGGGATGCATTAGAAGTAGGAATTTTCCTAATATGAGAAATATTAACGTTAAATAAAATATTAAGTTACCAAATAAGGGGATGGCTAAAGCATGATTTTTCGAAGTTTTAATAAATTAAGGCTAGAGCTAGTTTAGTATTAGGAGTTATAACTAATGTTGTTAGTCAAAATTGTTTTTGCTAATGTCAAAATTTGTCTAAATTAAATTGTCTAAATGTCTACAAAGTTGAAATAGCCTTAACAACATTAGTTAGAACTAGGTAGAGATATACGTAAAATTGCCTTCTCGGCACTTTTTGTTAATCTCCCAAGGCAGGTTAGACTGCCGTTTTCATATTTTTGCGATTTCTTTATTTTTTGACTTTGGGCTGATCAAATTTCACGATCTGGTTGGTTGAAACAAACATGTCACGTGATACGTGGCTTTAGACGACCCCAAATGAAATATTAAATACTTACTGAATCGTTGGAGCAACCGATTGGGGTCCAGGAGGATTAGAAGTGAGTGGAACGGTAGTTACTTTAAGATCGGAAGTTGCAACCACGGGTAACTTGCCATTAGCTGGAAACAAAGAAGTGGTCACTGTGGTTCGAGGGTTAGCAGTATTGGCAGTTGAGGTAATTTTTGGGGTAGTTATTGAGGTAATTTTGGGGGTAATTATTGTGGTAATTTTTGGAGTAGT